GCCTTAACTTGAGGCAAGCTCAAATTAGGCAGACTTAGATTTATAAATCGGATTCGGAGAGTCCGCTCCCTATAGCTAGTTTTTCTCTGGTATCATCACAATCATAATCATCTTTCACATCTGCTAGTCAGACTTACGTAACCTTTCTGCATCTCACATTATTCGAGAGATTAAAGCTAACGTTAAAATTACAATTTAGCGTATTAATACTAATAATATTGAATAAAAGAAAGTTGAAGCGGTTAATTTATAAAGAAAAAAAGGGGTTAATTATTATTGATAAAAAACCCTAAATGTAAATACTAAAAGCCCCCAAATCCGAGCAGTTAGAATTAATGAGGGGAATAATAATAATAAGGGTAATACTCACTTTATATATATTATCTACTAGTAACATATAGGGGTTCTTCTTCTATATTTATATATATTAATCGAAAGTTTAAAATATTTGTTATATTCTCTATTCGTGAAGAAAAAGTAAATTATAATTAATAAAGTATTCGATACCACATATATTCTTATACTACTTTAAAAAGTCAATAAATATCTTCGTTGAAGAATAAGGATTATACTTTATATAATGAATACGCTTTTAAATATTTAAAACCTCTCAAGTAATAATAGGAATTCGAAGATTACGAAGTTCTAATATTAAATTGTTATTGTTAGCGCGTTGAATAAAAGTAACGTTTTCTACTTCTATTTTAGGATTTAGAATACTATTTAAGTAATAAATAATTTAATGAGAGTTTATTTTAGCGATATTAAATAACCTTTCAATAGTAATATTAATAGCCTCTTTATAGTTACAACGAATCTGTTATTAATAAATAACGTTACTGGCAAAGTTAACGATATCGACGTTATAATTATAATTATTATTAATCTCTTTAGCAAACTATTAATTACCTTACTTCTTCCTCAATACAATTTTTATTTAATATAAGTAGTCCATCCGCTTCGAAGTAGTATTTCGAATACTTTACCTAATCGATTTATAAATGCGGCTATATATATAATAATAATCGATTCGTTTAACGACCTCCTCCTCTCCTTTCTTCCTATTTTTTATTTAATTATACAATACAACCGTAAAGTGTTATTATATAGCGTAATTTTATAGCGAATCGAATGCAGCGATTATATTATTATAATTAAAGGATATAAATAGTAGCCGTAGCCTTGCTAGTTGGGCAGCGCGTTCGCTAGGGGATAGTAATTATATTCTTAATTTCGATCGTTCGTATTAATAGCGGCGGACTAATAGTAATTAAAATTCGACGAGGGGGGTCGTATTCTATTTAGGAATAATTATTCGAATTAAATTCGAAGGTATTTTATTAGCAATTCTAATTAAAGCAATTCTAATTAAATCCCGTTAACGTTAATTATTTTAGTTAGTTAAGTTAGAAGTCTAATTTATATAGGCGAATACGAAACGTATAGTAGGCGGGCAATATATTAATAAATATAATAAAGTCGAGGATACTATACGAAATAATAATAAAGACGACAAATAATTACTATAAACGGTTGTTCAATACTAAAATAAAATCTCGCGATAACTTTATTCAATTATATAAGACTAACGATCGCTAATACAGGGCGCGCGACAACGGCGGCGGTTAGGCAGCAATATATATAGTATACTAGGCTGGGCTAGGCGGCTAGGCTGGGCGGCTGGGCTTATTTAGCGTTAAAAAGTGGGGGGGGACTACCCAGGGACTAGTTTAGGACTACCTAGCTACCGATTTCGACAAATATCCACGGAAAAAGAATACTCCAGCAGCCGGTCTGCATCTCTTCTCCGCCGTGTCCGCAACTAGAGCCACTTCTCACGAGGTTAACCATGGGATTCCTAACCATGTCGCGCATAGCTGGCACAATAACCTAAAAACCGTCCAAACATGAACTTCCAAAGAAGAAAGCACTTCGGCTTGGCCTGGGGTGTGGTGGGACCCTGACGGAGATTGTTCCTGGAACTGATGCCCATCCGTCCACTCACAGGCTCTCAAGCTCCCACGGTTACAGTGACCTTTTCAACGCAGGTACCGTGGGAGAATCGTGCCATGCCTCCATCTTGGTCCCGGCCAGAGGGTTAGCTGCATAAGCAGGGGACCCTACAAGTCCCTGAACGGTCTCGCCTGTGTTTTTCCCCTCCCTAGTGGGTTCGGGAGAGCAGTCTTCGCGTGGCAGACCACGCCAGCGCCGGGGCATGGAATCATACTTAAACAAAGCATGTCGACTGCCACCATGAATACATCATCGCCAAGGTAGTCGTTCTTGGAGATCTTCAACCTCAAACTCCAGCAGAAGCGTTCAGACCGGCGCTCACTTTCGAGCCTCGCTTCTCAGTCCAGTCAATCTCCTCCTAGACGTCTCCAGAGAAACCATCACCATGAAAGTTTCGACTCTTCTCTCTTCCGGCCTTTTCTCCGTCGGTGCCCTGGCCGCCGCCACTGGCCCGACCTGCAAATGCTTCCCCGGCGATGCCTGCTGGCCTTCAACACAGGATTGGAACAAGCTCAACCAGACAGTCTCTGGCAGACTGATCGCTACCGTGCCCCTTGCTGAGGTATGCCATGGCGACCTGTACGACAGCGCAAAGTGCTCGAGCCTCCAGTCTTCGTGGCAGACTCCCGATACTCAGTAAGTTTTTTTGGTGGTGATCATCATGTATGTAATGTCGATCACTAACAACCATGTCTCCCACACAGCATGGTTGACTCGGCCTCTATCATGGCCCCGTTCTTTGCCAACCAGAGCTGCGACCCCTTCACTCCTGTGGACAAGCCCTGCACCCTCGGCAACTACGTAAGGTACGCCGTCGATGTCCAGACCGCTGCCGATGTGGCCGCCGCCATCAACTTTGCCCGCAACCACAACATCCGCTTCGTCATCCGCAACACCGGCCATGACTACCTTGGTCGTTCCACCGGTGCCGGTGCCCTCTCCGTCTGGACCCACAACCTGAAGGATATCGAGTTCAAGACCTGGAATGAGACGTACTACTCTGGTCCCGCCGTCAAGCTTGGTGCCGGTATCCAGGGTTATGAGATTCTTGCTGCCGGCAAGGACAAGGGTCAGGTCGTCGTTGGCGGCGAGTGCCCTACTGTCGGTATCTCTGGTGGTTACACTCAGGGTGGTGGTCACTCGGCTTTGAGCACCAGCTTCGGCCTGTCTGCTGACAACACCCTCGAGTGGGAGGTCGTCACTGCAGATGGCCGTTTCCTCACGGCTTCTCGCACCCAGAACCCTGACCTCTACTGGGCTCTCTCCGGTGGCGGCGGCGGCAACTATGGTGTCGTTATCAGCATGACCATCAAGACCTTCCCCGATGCTAAGGTTGGTGGCGCGACCCTCTCCTTCTACTCTGCTGAGAATCCCACCGACAAGTTCTACGCCGCCATCGATGCTTTCCACTCTGCCCTCCCCGACATGGTCGCCGCCGGCACCATGGTTGTCTACTACTTCACCTCGACCTTCTTCACGATCGCCCCCATGACTGCCTACGCCAAGTCCGAGGACGAAGTCAAGAACATCATGGCCCCCTACCTCGAGACTCTTGACACCATGGGCGTCAACTACACTGCCGGCTACAGCGAGACCGAGACCTACTATGACCACTACAACCAGTACTTCGGCCCTCTCCCCACCGGCAACATCAAGGTCGGCATCGCCCAGTACGGTGGCCGTCTCATCCCCGTTGACACCGTCAAGAACAACGCCACTGCCTTCGCCAAGACCGCCCGCTTCATCGCCGAGAGCGGCGTCACTTTCATCGGTGTCGGCACCGATGTCTCCGCCTTCGGCAAGGACAACCAGAACGCCGTCCTCCCCGCCTGGCGCAAGGCCCTCGTCCACGCCACCCTCACCACCCCGTGGTCGTTCGAGCCCGCGGACTGGGACAAGATGCTCGAGAACCAGGACCTCATGACCGACGTCATCATGCCCGCCATCGAGGATGCCACCCCCGGCTCGGGCGCCTACATGAACGAGGCCAACTTCCAGCAGCCCGACTTCCAGCACCAGTTCTTCGGCAGCAACTATAACAACCTCATGTGCATCAAGAAGAAGTACGACCCCACCAACTTCTTCTACGCCACTGCCGCTGTCGGTAGCGAGACCTGGACTGTTGCCAACGATGGTCGCATGTGCAAGTCTGCTTAGATATAGCAAGCAAGCAGAGTGTTATTTGTTGCTGAGCGGTTCGATATCTGCTGTTATTAGCCTTGGTTATGTTTATTAGAACTTAATACCTTAGTCTTTATTTTCCCACCCCTTTTTGTTTACCTACTACTCATGTTTCTATGGCCTGTTTTGTCATGCTCGTTTCTGGGTAAGCGATCGGAGGTGGTGAGGGTAGGAAAACAATGTCGTGATGTTTTGTAAGGGTTGATGGTTGATGAGAAGGGAAGCTACTAGGCTTCGTTACCTACACTATGGCGCGCACGCTCGCTATAACGAACACATCATGTCCATATGTCATTTTCTTGTACATATTTTTTTGAACAGAGAAACTCAAGAGTACACACCTTGGGTGTTTGAATTGGTCTTTTGTGTCAACTTCCATGCTCCTACTCGGAGCTGTGTGTTGTTCCCTTTGGAGCTCTCCTGCCATAGACTTGGAGAGGTTTGATGATTACCAATCCCAATAGTCACAGTGACACTCGAATTACCAGTGTAACAATCGGAGAATTATTGTCGAAGGAACATCATCCACATTGTGGTTGCATCTGATGTTTTCGACGATTCTGGAAAGGACTTCTCGAAAAGGGAACACGTTTGGCTGATGCCGTCATTTCGGTCGATGATGCGACATACCCCACATCTCTTCTGCGGTCGTACCCCGCACTAGCAATGTATTGGAGGAAGCTGCAACTTCAGCACCTGGCTGTTACTGCACTAACAGCATTACCTTCCGAATTGCCGAAGCTTCGGTGTACACCAATCACCGATACGGCGATATCCACGACTGTATTTCTAAGCACCTCACATCCCGAGACAGCTCGGTCCCCTCATCGTTTCTTTCAAAAGACATATGAACCCCACGGTGCTTCATATAACTTATCCTCACATCTCGAAATTTAAGTAAACATCTCAACTTTGGCAACAAGCACGAACTATAACCAAACCAAACAACAAACACACACCCAACTTCAGACACAATGGCGTCCCAGAACCCAGACATCCACCTCTATACCGCGCAGACTCCTAATGGCATCAAGGTCTCCATCCTCCTCGAGGAGCTTGGTGTGCCTTACAAGGTACTTAGCATATGAACTCTCATACCACTTGGCTGTGAACCAATGCACACATCTCATCTCTCTCTTCACCACTCTCTTCACCACTCTCTTCACCTCTCTCTTCACCTCTCTCTTCACCTCTCTCTTCAGCTCTCTGCAAACCGATACTAACCCTCCCCCCAGGTAACCGCAATCGACATCACCAAAGACGTCCAAAAGGAGCCCTGGTTCCTCGAAATCAACCCCAACGGCCGCATCCCCGCCCTAACCGACAAGCTCGAGGACGGCACGCCCATTTCCCTGTTCGAGTCCGGCGCCATCATGCAGTACCTGGTCGACCGCTATGACAAGGACCACAAGGTCTCGTACCCGCATGGTAGCAAGGAGTACTACGAGACCCTAAGCTGGCTGTTCTGGCAGATGGGCGGGCTGGGCCCCATGCAGGGACAGGCTAACCATTTCACTCGGTACGCGCCCGAGAAGATTCAGTATGGTATTGATAGGTACCAGAACGAGACGAGGAGACTGTACAGGGTTATGGATGCGCAGTTGGCGAAGAATGAGAAGGGTTATTTGGTGGGGGATAGGCCTACTATTGCGGATTTCTCGTGCTGGGGGTGGGTTGCTATTCATGGTAAGTTTTCTCCTCTTCTCTGCTTTGTTGGTTGGGTGTATCACATGTCAGTGTCACAATTGCTAATGACTGTGTTCTAGGCTGGAGCGGCATCAAGGACTTCGAAACCCAATTCCCCAACCTCAACGCCTGGCTGAACAGACTTCTCGAGCGCCCCGGCGTCGAAAAGGGCAGACATGTGCCCAGCAAGCATTCGGCGCTGGAGCTCAACAAGTTGAGCGAGGAGGAGCTCGAGGCTAAGGCGGTGTCTTCCAGGGCGTGGGTCCAGAAGGGCATGGCTGAGGATGCGAAGAAGTAAGGGAAACGAAGCAAACAGTGGGCAGTGGGAAACGAGCTATGAGCTATGAGCACTGTGCTTGCTCGTGATACTGTCAGGTAGATGAATCTCGAAACTGACGAGTTTTTTCTGTGAGAAAGGTTTCGGTCCAAGGTTTAGGTTTGATATGGCAAGTTAGGAGGTAGTGGTAACCGGGCCTCCTCCATGATGGTCTTTGGTGATATGGACTACCCTGGGATGTGACTGCCGCGATGAATGCCATGCGCGCTTGCGACCTCATATCTCGAGTTAGCTGAGGAATGTCAAGTCAGTAAACCCGTTTGAGCATAACATATGATGATCGAGATTCTGTCATAAGATGATTGCAGCGGTCACGTGTGGCCAATAACAGCGACCACCCGACTGCTGTGAAGTGAACCTCAAGGCCTGGAACGTCAAGTCCAGCGCGCCTGTGCGTTCCGTGTTTGCACCTGCTCGCTTACCTAAGGCAAATGCGGGATCTGGCCCCACTTGCCTTTTGCTTTGCCTCCCGTCCAGTCTGCGCGTCTGCCTGCAACCAGCCAACCACTCCCGTCTTTTGCACCCAACCGAAACCACATCACATTCCCTTGTCAACCGATTTCTGGTCGTCTGTCATTTGAATCCCTCGACACAGAACGACCTCATCAACGATCACAATGTCGTGGAGGAACCAAGGAATCACGGGTTCCAACAACATCCCGTTGGGAAGCAGGCGTCGCTTCGCTGGCGATGGAGAGGAAGAGGACGGCGCTCGCAGCGTAACACCATCAGCCCCATCATCCGTCACCAATGGAGACAGAGACAGAGACGTCAGAGACGGCCCCGTCTACAGCAATGATCGCGACGTCAAGCGCGGCCGCAGCCCCGAAAGGTCCGAGGATGGTCCCAAGCGCCGCAAGAAGCGCAACCGTTGGGGCGAAGCGACCGAGAACAAGGCCGCCGGCCTGATGGGCCTTCCTACCGCTATCGTCGCTAATATGACGAGCGAACAATTGGAGGCCTACACCCTGCATCTTCGCATCGAGGAAATCACCCAAAAGCTCAAGATCGACGATGTTGTTCCCGCCGATGGAGACAGGTATGTTGGACATGATCACCTTTTTTGTACATGAAACTCATGATTGACCTCTTGTGTTTGTTCAGATCGCCCTCTCCTGCTCCCCAGTACGACAACCATGGTCGCCGTGTCAACACTCGCGAATACCGTTACCGCAAGAAGCTCGAGGATGAGCGCCACAAGCTCATCGAGAAGGCGATGAAGACGATCCCTAACTACCACCCGCCCTCGGACTACCGTAGACCTACAAAGACCCAGGAGAAGGTCTACGTCCCGGTTAACGACTACCCAGAGATTAACTTCAGTATGATAACTAACCCTCCAAACTCCCTATTAACTCCTAACCTTCCCCCGCCCCCATTGGTATTTTGCCAGGCATGAGCCCGCGCTTCTAGAAACAGTTGCCGTTCGTGCCTTGCAAGTTGCTTATGTTGAACTTTTTAACCCGAAAAACAAATGATTTCCATGATAACAATACTAACACTTAGCTCTTCCTTGTTCAAGTTGGTTTACTTATCGGTCCTCGTGGCAACACACTCAAGAAGATGGAAACAGAATCTGGCGCCAAGATTGCCATTCGTGGAAAGGGCTCCGTAAAGGAGGGCAAGGGCCGTTCTGACGCCGCCCACTCCAGCAACCAGGAAGAGGACCTGCACTGTCTCATCATGGCAGATACTGAAGAGAAGGTGAACAAAGCCAAGAAGCTGATTCACAATATTATTGAGACAGTACGTTGTCCCCTTCCCCTTCCCGCCTTTGGCGTTTATGCACCCGCTAACTGTTGTTATAGGCTGCTTCGATCCCTGAAGGCCAGAACGAGCTCAAGCGCAACCAGTTGCGTGAGCTTGCTGCCCTCAACGGTACTCTGCGTGATGACGAAAACCAAGCTTGCCAGAACTGCGGTCAGATCGGTCATCGTAAATATGATTGCCCTGAGAAGCAGAACTACACTGCCAACATTATCTGCCGTGTCTGCGGTAACGCCGGCCATATGGCTAGGGATTGTCCTGACAGGCAGAGGGGTGCAAGCTGGAGAAACGATGGTCCCGGTGCTGGCCGTACCGCTGGCCGTATCGGTAGCAGTGGTGGCGGCGATGCCGTGGACCGCGAGTACGAGGTATGTTTCCCTTCTACAACCTATTTCTATCAAGAGCAACACACTGACATGTACCAGCAACTCATGCAAGAACTCGGTGGTACCGGCGCTGCTCCTGCCCGTATTGAAGCTGGCCCTGGCTCTTTCAGCAATGGTCCCAGCGGCGCCAACGGCGATGCCAAGCCCTGGCAACGGGGACCCACTGGCGGTCCTGCTCCCTGGCGTACTCGCAACACGGATCGGGATCACGAAGATGGCCCTCCTAGCGGACCCTCTGGTGGCCCGGCTCCTTGGGCTCGTGACCGTGGCGAGCGCAGACATGATGACCGCGATAGAGGAGACAGCTACTATGGCGGTGATCGCAGGCATGACGGCTATGGCAGAGGCCCCTCAGGTGGTGGTGGCGGCTCGGCCCCCTGGCATCAACCTCCCCCCGGAGCCCCGTCTGCCCCGGCGATCCCCGCGGCTCCGGCCTATCCTGGTGCCTATGGTGGTTATCCCGGCTATGGTGCTCCTCCCGGTATGGGCGCTGCCCCGCCTCCTGGATTGCCTCCTCCGCCTCCTGGAGCCCCTCCCGGCCTGTCCGGACCGCTTAACGCTCTCATCCAGCAATATGCCAACGCGGCTCCTCCCCCGCCCCCTCCGGCAGCTGAGGCACCCCCGCCGCCTCCAATGGACCTCCCTCCGCCTCCCCCTCCCGGCGCTTGAAGGGCACTGAAGTAACTAATCAGATGCATGCTGCTGGGTCGGAAAAGTCGAAATGGAATGGTGTACTGACTGACAGGGTATTCACTTGATTAACAAGGTTTCACTCACAGGATGTCAGCACTCACTAGCATGAATTAACTTACCCATATGGTTGAGCAGAGTTTGCCTGGTTCTTTTAGTTGCTGTTGGAGACAGCACGAACTAACTTTTAACTGTACACAATCAAAGTAGTAGATCAAGATCCTAGGTTTCCTAGATATAACGCAGAAAAAAAGAATGATTTCGTTTTACGTATGGGGCAGGTTAAGCCTTTGGATATATGAAAACTGTAGATGTGCCTACGTAGTTGAAGAAGAGGCTTCCCTGGAAGAATTTACCGTTGGATAACTCGCGTCTCTTTGCCATTCTGCCCAGTCGAGTGAGTTTGGAACATGTCGTTGCCCATCCGTCTCGAGAGTTGGTATTTTCCAGATCCCAACGATACTGTTCTCCTCTCCCCTCCCCGTCCTCTTTCTCTGCTAGATAACGGCGACTTTTCCGTCTGCAAAAGTTACGACACAGATGAACGACACAACATGGAAGTCATTTGTTACTTGAACTTGCATGATTATTGATCTTCCCATTCCATCCATATCATTCACTATCCTCCAATGACTAAGTCAATCGATATCCGACCGTTAAAAGCTATTTTTTGTCTTCCGTGATCCTTCCCAACGAGCCAACCCGGCCTTGTAATAATAATACTACCTATCCCACCCATCCATCCCCATCTCATGATCCAAAGCGAATCGATCATACATATCCGGAACCCGTCTCGTCCAAGGCATTGGTTTAGTTTAATACAGATACAACTTGCCCACACAAACTCGTGATGCAACAGCGATTGCTGAAGTGTCCATCCACCAGGGAGGGCTCTCCTCCCTTCCTTCGTCTTTATCCATTCATCCTTTTCCGATATAGATCAGGCTTCCTTCCTACGTCCTCAATACCATGATGCAAGTGCTGTAGCTTCAGTCAATGGGCGTCCAGTCTATAATAAGTTGTATCAGCTCGTACCATCCTTGCCGAACCTTGTGTGCCGCGCGGGTTTTCGCAGACGTTTGTTTGGGCGGCAGGAGCGAGCGGGAAAGGGGTTGAGCTGAGTAGACAGAAACATCGGGGTAAGTAAAGGTCGGGGCCGGATTACTGCAGCTTCGAGACAAGGAATATAAATAACATCGTCGAGGAGATGCGATGAGATATTTCTCGTTTTCCTGATTCTTCTTCTTTTGGTTTCCAACCGGTACTTGGTCTCTCTCCTCTTAGTCCTCCTGCATAGGCCTAACCGGATGTCCACCATCGACAATCGTGACCTCGTCGATCCTCCTGTCGACATCTTCGCCGTACTCGACCCGCTTCCACGTGTTGATGCGGCCCTCGTTCATATCGAAGTTGAAGACGCGGATCTTGCGGTGAAACCCTCCGTAGCCGGCATAACCGCCGAAACCGGCGGCGCCGGCGTAGCACATCCAGAGGGCGGGCTTGCCGTCTTCTTTGAAGTCTACGGCGCAGTATTCGTTGACGTGGTCGCTAGAACACACTATTTTAGTGACTGTGAAATTGCTTAGTGATCAATCAATGGATTTGGCAACTTACTGTCCACAAGAAACCATCACAACCCCCTCCTCCACCAACGCATCGTGAAAGCCAGAGTTAAACGTCGGCGCCGTAGTCGGTTCCTTCCACGGGCTCACCAGCGTCAAATTCCTTCCATTCTGGTACTCCGGCAGCGGGATGTGGATGAAGGCCACATCCATGTGCACGTGCGTGTACTCGCGGTGCTTCTTCTTGAGTCCCTGCGCCGTCTGCCGGAACCACTCGATCTGGTTGGGCTTGATCCAGTCGTAGCCCGGGTACTTGCGCTCGTTGGGCGAGTAGGCGTGCGTGTCGAGCAGGTACACCGTCAGCGCCGAGTGGCTGGACGAGCCGCGCCCCAGTACCTCGATGAAGTAATTACCAACACCGTCGATGCTCTCGGGCCCGGCGTGGGACAGAGAATAGGGGAGGGTCTCAATCAGGTCCATCTGGGCGGCCCGCGACATGGAGCCTTCGTCGTCGTGGTTGCCGAAGATGGAGACGTACGGGATCTTGTGCTTGATGAGGATTTGGGCATACTTGAAGATGGCCTAGACGAACCATGTTAGCCGCAGTCGCTTTTTTCCAAATCTTAAATTGTCATAGCCCTTACCGTCTGTGTATCAGGCGCCGTCTCGCCATTCACTTGATCACCACTCAACACCACTAAATCCGGCTTCTCCTCCTCCAAAATCTTCGTCACAAAGTCCAGCGTTCTGGGATCCGCCTCGCACTTCTGGCCCTCCGGCAGCGCATCACGACACGCTCCCACGCCCGTACTCAAGTGCAAATCCGCCAGCTGCACAATCTTAAACTTGCCATTATCCCGAATCCTCAACACCGGCTTCACAGGTGGGTGCTGCTCCGCTCCTCTCCTCACCGTCAGATGCGCGGACGGCACACTACGCCCAACGTCCAGCAACAACGGCGTGCCCGTCATGCCCCACCCCTCCCTAGCCTCCACGGCATCGTCACCAAACAGCACATCGATCCCCGTCACCGCATTCTTGGAATCGCTCGCCCCTTTCTTGGACGACCGCTTCACCCACAGGCCGGCCGGCCTGGACTCCCACTTCTCATTCTTGTTATCTACGCCCTTGGCAGCAGCCTTCTCCGCGTCGGCCACGCTGGGGTCCAGTCGGCCCACGGTCACGTCCACCACCACTTTATCGCCCTCCTTCAGCTCCTCCTCGCGCTTGCGGCTGATGTGGAGGTAGGCATGGGAGAAGAGGGTCTTGCCGAGGTGGAGGTCCTTGTCGATGCGGTGCCAGACCGAGGTGTCGAGGTCGCAGCTCGAAAAGGGGTTGTAGCTAGTGCAGGTAGTGACGGTGATGTCGGTGATGACGAGGCCGGCGTGGTGGGTGGGCAGGTATTCGTGGATGGCGTTGGGGAGGACGCGGAAGTTGCGGTCGAGGAAGAAGATGAGGAGGAAGGTGATGACGGCGGCGGTGGAGATTTGGATGATGTTGCGGACCTGGTTTTGTTAGAGGGTTGGTTAGCTTGGTTGGTGATCTTACAGACAGCTTCAACTTTTGTAGCTATTGCTACAGCATTTGCAAAGAGAGTTGAGAGAAGGGAAGTAGAGACGACCTACAATTCGTCGCGTCATCTTGAATAAGACTGTATTTTGTATTTCTGGCCGCTCTGGACCTGCTGGAATCTCTCTTCTAACAACACCGTCTACTACCTCGTTCGTTGTCGAGTATAATAGAGAGCTTCGGCGCCCTGGCTACTACTACTACTACTGAACGAAAGGAGGCTGCCCTGCTGCGGCTCTATGCCCATCTTATAGCATGCCGCAACGGTCGGTATGTCGGACACCACTCGAAAGTTCGAACTACTCCTCGCCAAGCTTTGTGTGAAGTCGAGAAGCTAGCTATCCCAATATGGTAATCTCGATTCGCCGTGTCCGTGGCTCGTCTGGCGTCCGTGTGCGTGGGGTCGTCAACTCCGGTGCGGACTGCGGAGGCGGTATGTACTCGATTTTCGATGTTGGTGATGGTTGGTGCCGACGGGATCGACGGGACTCGTTCGGGAGGTTTAGG